TAAATGCTCATGTAAATACTTACTTTAAGTGTGTCAAGCACTCCTTGATTCTTAAAGGTTTGGTAAAGCCTCTTTCTCAGCTCATCTGGGGATAAAGCCTCCTGGGGAAGAGAGGATCAATCAACGAATACTAGCTTGCAGGTTTTTCTTGCTGAAGGTAAATACCTAGTACTCTGTAAAGAGACTAACATTTATATTGTGTTTACAGCACTGATCTATAGGTATTCAGGTTTAAATTACCTGCTTAGTAACCAATCGCCCTAAGCACACAGCCAAGACAACGCAGGAGTAGCTTCGGGACAAGTCTCTGAATGTCCTTGAGTGGCCCAACCAGAGCCCGGACTTGAACCCGATCGAACATCTCTGGAGAGACCTGAAAAAAGCTGTGCAGCGACGCTCCCCATCCAAAAGCTCTCAACCTACAACCTATATACTTATTATGGACACAGTATGCTTACATTATTAGTTATCTTGTTGTTATTAGTTGTTGTTAGTTGTTATTAGTCCCATCCTTCAACTCCATTCAACACCTCCCATCTATCTCTTAACACAATCCATATTGGATTTCTATTTGCCATATATTTTTCAACAGTACTGTGATGTTTTACAAAAGTTCTGAACCTTTCTATTCTCATTGTTTCTACAGATTGTAAATTGAAAATAAACATTTTTGCTAAAAGTATTATTATATTATTGATCGATTGACTATGACTTTTCAGATCACCCAGTAATGCTATCTGCAGGGTTAGCTCCAGGTAAATATTGCAATCCTTTAGCCATTCCTGGACCTGTGTCCAAAAACAAGCTACAAATGGACAGTACCAAAACAAATTATCTAATGATTCTGTCTCTTTGCAGCAAAATCTGCAGAGCTGGGAAGATTGTATCCCCCATATAAATAGCATTCTATTGGTAGCAAGAATATTATATAATAATTTAAATGGAAAAATTCTAAGTTTTGAATCCGGCGTCGTTTTGCATATCAGTTCATAAACACTATGCCATGGGATCAGTACGTCAAAAATCTCTTCCCAACTATTTTGCAATCTATATGGGACGGCTGTCAATCCTTTGGTCCTTAAATGAAACTGGTATACTTTGTTATTTATCACAGTTTTCTTTAACCAATTATGTTCTTTAATGCAAGGCCGACAGACAAGTTCCTTACATTTTCCCCCTTCCACTTTCCTCTTCCATTTATGCTGCAATTATTTGGTTGTAATTTTGGGTAGAGCAGACATTTCCATATGTTTTTGTTAGCTGCATGTGCGACATAACTCCACCAGTCCTACCGATGATATCATTTACGAAGATTATATATTTTGTAAACATTTTGTCAAAAAAAAAAGGTTTTTTATCAATTAGTATGTTTGAGTTTAACCACAATATTTGTTGCATTTTTTTTTCTGTCGTTTCTGGAGGATTAAATTGAAATTGCAACCAACTTTCTATGGCTTGTTTTAGAAATAGTGATATTTGGGAGATTATTTCCTTTTCAAATAACTGAAAGTGTGAGGTTGTAATCTGAATAAAGGGAAAAAGGGCCATTCTTGAACATTGGGTGAGACAATCTTACTAATTTGCTAGAGAACCAGTTCGGATTTAAGTATAACTTTTGTATGACTGAAGGTTTTAGTGATAGGACTAATGCTTTTATATTTAATAATTTCTGTCGTCCGAATTCATATTCATTATATAAATAGGCCCGTTTAATTTTGTCTGGCTTGCCGTTGTTTCATTCCTCTTGACAGTTTAAAACTTTCTGAGAAATAGCCATTATTTACTATTTCACACCTAGGGTTACTATACATGATTTTAACCCATTTTACAAGAGATTCTCCAAAATTGAAATGCTCCAGGCATTTATATATAAACCCCAGTCGTACTTTATCAAATGCCTTTTCGAAGTCTGCTATGAATAGCAGGCCTGGTTTCCCAGATTTTTCATAGTGTTCTATTGTTTCCAGTACTTGCCTTATATTATCTCCAATGTATCTTCCATGTAAAACACCTGTCTGATTAGAATGAATAATGTCCAACAATACCTTTTAAATTCTATGAGCTATACATTTTGCTAGAATTTTTTGCATCACAACACTGAAGTGTAAGGGGCCTCCAATTTTTTTTATGGACTGGATCTTTGTATTTTCCACTTGTATCCTGTTTCAGTAATAATGAAATCAGACCTTCTTCTTGAGTGTCTGATAATCTACCATTTACATAGGAGTGGTTAAAACATGCTAATAACGGTCCTCTGAGTATATAAAAAAAGGTTTGGTATACCTCGACTGGTATGCCATCCAACCCCGGAGTTTTCCTGGACTTAAAGTCTTTAATTGCATCCAGAAGTTCCTCCTCTGTAATTTCACCTTCACGTGAGTCTTTCTGTATGGCTGTTAATTTTACATTATCAATAGAAAAAAATCTCTACTATTAGCTTCAGTTAGAGGAGATGGAGGCGACTGAAACGAATACATATGCTTAATGTACTTTGTTTCCTCCTTCAAAATATAATTTGGTGAATCATGGGTGACTCCGTCATTTGTAACCTGTTTCAGTAAATTATTTTTGGTAGCATTCCTATGCTGAAGATAAAAAAATTATTTGGTGCATTTTTCCCCATATTCCATCCAGTTTGCTTTATTTTTATAATATATTACACTTGATCTTTCTTGAATAAGTTTCTCAATTTTTTTTTGTTTTTCCTCTAATTTATTCTGAGCCTCTATATTACAGTTTTTATTGCTATCTATCTGTTCTGTTAGACCATCTATTTCCTTTGTTAGTATGGACTCTTTTGACCTAAATTGCTTTTGTTTTCGAGATGAGTACTGAATTGCATGGCCTCTAAAGGCACATTTAAAGGTGTCCCATACAATAAGGGGATTTGCTGTACCTATGTTATGTCGGAAAAAATCAGTTATGAATTCCTCTGTCCTAGTTAAAAACAAGTTATCATCCAATAGGCTTTGATTACATTTCCAATATCCTCGCCCACATGGAAATTAATTAAGAGTAATGTATATGCCAATTATATGATGGTCCGACCGCATTCTGTCCCCTATCAACACTTTTTGAACGTTTGGGGCCAATAAGAATGAGATAAGAAAGAAGTCAAGACGACTAGCTTGATTGAGTCTCCGCCATGTACAGTGGGGAGAACAAGTATTTGATACACTGCCGATTTTGCAGGTTTTCCTACTTACAAAGCATGTAGTCTGTAATTTTTAACACAGGTACACCTCAACTGTGAGAGACGGAATCTAAAATCCAGAAAATCACATTGTATGATTTTTAAGTAATTAATTTGCATTTTATTGCATGACATATGTATTTGATACATCAGAAAAGCAGAACTTAATATTTGGTACAGAAACCTTTGTTTGCAATTATAGAGATCATACGTTTCCTGTAGGTCTTGACCAGGTTTGCACACACTGCAGCAGGGATTTTGGCCCGCTCCTCCATACCTTCTCCAGATCCTTCAGGTTTCGGGGCTGTCGCTGGGCAATACGGACTTTCAGCTCCCTCCAAAGATTTTCTATTGGGTTCAGGTCTGGAGACTGGCTAGGCCACTCCAGGACCTTGAGATGCTTCTAACCTGATTTACGAATGCATATACGAATGCATATACAGTTACAGCTGTTTGAGAAAGCATGCAAGATTGAGCAAAAATGTACAACAATGTGAGATTTGATTGATCTATTTAATCTATGTCAAGTCCTAGGTGATGGAGATCAGATCCACCCTCTTCACCTGAGACACAAACACTCTGCAATTGTTAGATATTACTTGTTAGGTATTACTGCAATGTCGGAGCTAGAAGCACAAGCATTTCGCTACACCCGCTATAACATCTGCTAAACACGTATATGTGACAAATAAAATGTGATTTGATGCATAGTCACTATAATAACTCCACCTACATGTACCTATTACCTTAATTACCTCAACTAACCTGTACCCCTGCACATTGACTCTGTACCGGTACCCCCTGTATATAACAATAATAATAATATGCCATTTAGCAGACGCTTTTATCCAAAGCGACTTACAGTCATGTGTGCATAATTTTTTTTTAGACGTATGGGTGGGTCTCGGGGATCGAGCCCACTACCCTGGCGTTACAAGCGCCATGCTCTACCAATTGAGCTACAGAGCACCACAGCCTCGCTATTGTTATTTACTGCTGCTCTTTAATTATTCGTTTTTTTGGTATTCTTTCTTAAAATTGCATTGTTGGTTAAGGGCTTGTAAGTAAGCATTTCACTGTAAGGTCTACACCTGTTGTATTCGGCGCATGTGACAAATACATTTCATTTGGCATGCACCTTAAACATTTGTTTGCGGACCGCCATTATGTCGAAGAAGAAGAAGAAGAAGAAGAAGAAGAAGAAGAAGAAGAAGAAGAAGAAGAAGTGCCTATAGCTTTGAATTAAACGAACTGGCAATGTTATTGTTTAGTTCCAGTCGCACATTTATGACCTTGATATTCTGTCTTTCAAATAAGAGATAAATACAGATAAATTAATCAACTAATATACACTATTAAATATAAATTAACTAAATATAATCTAAGATACACAAAGTTAAAAACTCGTTGCAAATGTTTCTCTCGTTGCGTTTCGGTAGTTTATAGCAACTTTTCATGTCGTCATCAAACAGTGACGGTATTCCCCAGAAAGAAGGACAGGTTCATTTTTTATTACAGGTAAACAAACGTTTGTTTTATCAAATTAAAACCATTGCTTCAGAGGTACATTTAGGATCTAAACATCTATCTGTAAATTAAGACTTTTCTAGTTTTCTTCAATGTGTTTATCTTGATGATAATCATGTGCGTGCTGGCTATATAGCTAACCTAACGTTAGCTACGTATTTAGCCATATAACAGTAGCTAACTAACTAACTTACATCACAAGCCTGTTACCGAAATAGTTGCTGTTTAGCCAATGTATATTCCTGTTCACACAGAACCGTGTTGATTGCTGGAAAGAAACATGTCTGGGAGTTTCTATTACGTCATGGTTGGACATCATGACAACCCGGTCTTTGAAATGGAGTTCTTGCCTGCTGGTAAAGCTGAGTCAAAGGTGTGTATATATATATATTTACGTTATCCTCAACATAATATAGATAGGCCTATGCTCCTGACAACTGTCTAAAGGGGTAGCTAGCTATATCACTACCTATGTATTGAGGTCTCTATCTACATCCAGTCAAAAGAAGAGGTTACTGTAATGCACACTCAATTACTTAGCCTAAATTAATTTTTTTTGGGTCACAGTGTGTTGACCATTTGAAGTAATGTTTGTGAGCAAGTAGAAATGTTTTGTGTATTCTTATGCCTTTTTCATAGGGGAATAAACACATTTGATATGTCATGGTTTTTCCATTCTGTCTACCTGTAAACAGGATGACCACCGGCATCTGAACCAGTTTATTGCGCATGCAGCTCTCGACTTGGTGGATGAAAACATGTGGCTGTCTAACAACATGTACCTGAAAACTGTGGACAAGTTCAACGAGTGGTTCGTCTCTGCCTTTGTCACCGCAGGACATATCCTTTTCTGACTACTACCCAAGAACTACACGTACTGTAAGTAAGTATCCTTGTCTGAGCCAGAACGGCCCATAGGACATGATCTGGCCTTAATGGCCATGTACTCTTTTATCTCCACCCAGCACAGCCAGAAGAGGTCTGGCCACCCCTCAGAGCCTGGTTCCTCTCTAGGTTTCTCATTAGGTTCCTGCCTTTCTAGGATTTTTTTTAAAATCCACCTTGCTTCTACATCTGCATTGCTTACTGTTTGGGGTTTTAGGCTGGGTTTCTGTAAAATCACTTTGTAAAAAGGGCTTTATAAATACATTTGATTGATTGACAGGAGCATATTTTATGTTTCTGTAGCGAGGCAGCTTGATGTACAAGTGCATCCCCTGGACAGGACACTAGTCTATCGCAGGGACATACCCCTAATCCATCTCCTTAGTGCTTAGTGCCAAGCAGAGGCATCGGGTCCCATTTTTTGAGTCTTTGGCATGAATCGACCAGGGATCTAACCTTCCCCAACCTTCCAATCTCAGGGAGGACACTTACCACGAGGCCATTGAGACCTACAGTTGAAGTCGGAAGTTTACATACACTTAGGTTGGAGTCATTAAAACTTGTTTTTCAACCACTCCACAAATTTCTTGTTAACAAACTATAGTTTTGTCAAGTCGGTTAGGACATCTACTTTGTGCATGACACAATAAGTTTACATACACTAAGTTGACTGTGCCTTTAAACAGCTTGGAAAATTCCAGAAAATTATGTAATGGCTTTAGAAGCTTCTGATAGGCTAATTGACATAATTTGAGTCAATTGGAGGTGTACCTGTGGATGTATTTCAAGCCCTACCTTCAAACTCAGTGCCTCTTTGCTTGACATCATGGGAAAATCAAAAGAAATCAGCCAAGACCTCAGAAAAAAAATGGTAGACCTCCACAAGTCTGGTTCATCCTTGGGAGCAATTTCCAAATGCCTGAAGGTACCACGTTCATCTGTACAAACAATAGTACGCAAGTATAAACACCATGGGACCATGTAGCCGTCAAACCACTCAGGAAGGAGACGCGTTCTGTCTCCTAGAGATTAACGTACTTTGGTGCGAAATGTGCAAATCAATCCTAGAACAACAGCAAAGGACGTTGTGAAGATGCTGGAGGAAACGGGTACAAAAGTATCTATATCCACAGTAAAACAATTCCTATATCGACATAACCTGAAAGGCCGCTCAGCAAGGAAGAAGCCACTGCTCCAAAACCGCCATTAAAAAAGCCAGACTATGTTTGGTGACTGCACATGGGGACAAAGATTGTACTTTTTGGAGAAATGTCCTCAGGTCTGATGAAACAGAAATAGAACTGTTCGGCCATAATGACCGTCGTTATGTTTGCAGGAAAAAGGGGGCAGCTTGCAAGCCGAAGAACACCATCCCAACCGTGAAGCACGGGGGTGGCAGCATCATGCTGTGAAGGTGCTTTGCTGCAGGAGGGACTGGTGTACTTCACAAAATAGATGGCATCATGAGGAAGGAAAACTATGTGGATATATTGAAGCAACATCTTAACTCAGGAAGTTAACGCTTGGTCACAAATGGGTCTTCCAAATGGACAATGACCCCAAGCATACTTCCAAAGTTGTGGCAAAATGGCTTAAGGATAACAAAGTCAAGGTATTGGAGTGGCCATCACAAAGCCCTGACCTCAATCCAATAGAAAATGTGTGGGCAGAACTGATAAAGCGTGTGCGAGCAAGGAGGCCTACAAACCTGACTCAGTTACACCAGCTCTGTCAGGAGGAATGGGCCAAAATTCACCCAACTTATTGTGGGAAGCTTGTGGAAGGTTACCCGAAACGTTTGACCCAAGTTAAACAATTTAAAGGCAATGCTACCAAATACTCATTGAGTGTATGTAAACTTCTGACCCACTGGGAATGTGAGGAAATAAATCAAAGCTGAAATAAATCATTCTCTCTACTATTATTCTGACATTTCACATTCTTAAAATAAAGTGGTGATCCTAACTGACCTAAGACAGGTAATTTTTACTAGGATTAAATGTCAGGAATTGTGAAAAACTGAGTTTAAATGTATTTGGCTAAGGTGTATGTAAACTTCCGACTTCAACTGTATACAGCCCTCTGGAAACGTTGTAACAAGAAATTATGGAATACTGTATTCCAAAATAGTTTGTCTACAATTCAACAAATAGTCATCGTTACCTTGGCCAAAGGGCCCAGATAAATAATGGGTAGTGTCTGTGTTTCCCTTAACCATCTCCATCACATATGAGATTCATCATGCTTCATGATGTACGACAAGAAGACGGAATCAAAAACTTCTTTAATGATGTGTACGATTTATACATTAAGGTGAGTTGCCCTTTCTGTGCAGGTCATGTACACATAACTTAAATTAACATTCTGATGATTTGTTCATTAATCTGTGCTCTTTCCCAGTTTGCAATGAATCCTTTTTATGAAACCAATGCTCCAATCCGGTCGACGGCATTTGACAGAAAAGTTCTGTTCCTTGGAAAGAAGCACCTCTTGAGCTGATGAATCAACCTGGGTTCTGTACCTTTTTTTTATTTCCTTAATTGTGTTTATCATACACATCATTTGGTCTATGATCACCTGTTGGTTGTGTTTGATAAATTCCCTACGTATTACTTTCTTTATACTTACCAACCACGGAATAAAAGATAGCATTGGGGGCAATGTTTTATAATGAATGAAGGGCATGTGTGAGTGTCACCAGCATTTTGTTGCCTAGTTTGATAATAATTACATTGTCTGTATGAGGTCTACTTTGATAATGACATGGTCTGTATGAGGTCTACTTTGATAATGACATTGTCTGTATGAGGTCTACTTTGATAATGACATGGTCTGTATGAGGTCTACTTTGATAATGACATGGTCTGTATGAGGTCTACTTTGATAATGACATTGTCTGTATGAGGTCTACTTTGATAATGACATGGTCTGTATGAGGTCTACTTTGATAAAGACATGGTCTGTATGAGGTCTACTTTGATAATAGTGACATTGTATGTATGAGGTAGACCTTGAATGAGCTTGGTTAAAACATGTATATTTAATTTCTGATATTTGTGAAATGTTCTATGGCTTACTGCCCAGATTCTCTAATCAAATACACTATAATTATTCAACTAATTTGGACATTTTCTCTGGACATGTGTTCCAAATACTTCATTAGTGCGCATGTGTGTGCCTTTGCCATACAAAGTAATGGCAGAACATTTCACTAATCATTGAGTATGTACAAAGACCAGCCCATGCAAACAAACAAACACATTCTCAGTTAAAATAAATCACATGACAATTGACTGAACGAATGGTCTGCCTGTAATAGGTGCTGTGTGGATGCAATAATCACCACACCAGAAAACGTTTACCAAATGACTTACTGCCGAAGTCTAACTCTTTAAGTGTATTTTTTTTCCTGTGACAGCGGAGGTGGAAAAACAAAACGTCTTCAGAGAAGATCATTTATTCATGGGCAGTTTTTATTCAAATAGCATTTTCCATTCAACTTGTGATTCTGGACAACACTGCTGTAGCTTAATTATATCAAAGATGAACAATGGCTAAACTGTTCTCAGCACTCGACCTAAATGAGACGTATTTTGTGGTAATGTACAATACTGTAAAATCAAAAAGCAATGACTGTTGAAATCAAGTTTTAGTATCAAAACTACACTAGTGTGTAAGAAAATGAAATTGATCTCCATAAATGTAAATAAAATGCATGTTAGATAAGATGTCCATAGAAAAAAAAAACGGGACCAGATACATTATACCTTGTTTATAATATCCACCACTATGTCCAAGTTCAGAAATGTATCACCTATTAATTACAATTAGCCAAGTTATCGGAACACTGAAATTCTGGTATGGTAAAAACAAAGGTTCTGTACTAACTGTTATTGGTAGAGAGCAGAATGCAGGATAAGACCTCCGCTTTATTCATTTAATATTGATCATTACAGCTCTTGTCCTGTGCAAGTGTTGAACATTGCATGATAACTCATTCATTATGTTATGTTGCGCAGATATCCCATGGCCAGCAAATCCAGCACCAATAATACATATTATAGAGTAAGAAATCATAAGCCTTCATTTCTGCTTTAATTTCCCTCTTTTCTCTGTACTAGAAAGTAGTGATGCTAGATTAGTGCTTAACTTATTCAAATTAAAAGACTGCATAAATTACTCTGCTTTGTATCAACATTTATGTTGTAATAAATATGAATATATTATGTTTTAAATTTTTTAACCTAATCCCATTCAACTCAATTGATGATTAAAAGTGACTTGCTTCTACTGTATCACATTTGGGTGGGATTACAATTTACATATGGTCCGCAATACGTTTTTGAATGGAATCAAATATGATATACTTTCACTGGTAAGGCTGCTCATCTCAACCTTGGTTTCAGTCACAGTGTAAGAAAACCTTTCTACGAAAAAAGGAACTTCTCTCTGGGTGTGTAATATGAACAGGAAGCGATGCTTTGTGAATATTTCTGGCAACCAAATTGGTGTCATAATATAATGTGATGTTTTAAGACAATATATAATTCAAAGATTGCACAGATTTTTAAATTATAATGCATTTCTTGGTGGAATCGGACAAAATAATACTCTTCTTCAGTACCTGCTTTACATCAATGAGTCCCAAGACCAACAAGCCCATTAGAATTTCATACATGGACACTAGTCAGTGCTTGCTTACTGTACTTGAGAGAGCAGAGCATGAGTGTTAATAAATAAGCCTGTGTGTCCTCCTAACTCCAGTTCTATATAGGTTGTAGGCCCAGTGCTTGACTTGGGCAGGAGCTCACCGGAGTGGAGTACCGGCACCTCAAAATGTTCTACTGCTTGGCCTCCTGTTCCTCTTTATAGAATATTAGTTCAAAAATATTGTGGAGCTCCTGCACCTAAATGTAAACAGTACCGGCACCCAAAATGAGCACTGGCACCTATTTCAGTCCAAGTCAAGCACTGGGTAGGCACTACACGTTGTCAACAGCAGGAAGTGCTGGAGCGGGGCTTTCTGTGGAGGTTGACTGTGTCCGTGGGGATGAGGTGGTCTGCCCTTTCCTCCATGGCCAGCACTCTCCGCACCGCCTCCTCAAAGGCTATAGCTACGTTGGTGGAACCCTTGGCACTGGTCTCATAATAAGGGTGATTGCCGTTTTCCCGACACCACTGTTGAGCATCTTCAGAAGAAACTTGCCTTTCTGACACATCCACCTTGTTCCCCAGCACCACGAAGGGGAACTTCTCAGGCTCCTTGACGTCGGCGTAGTAGATGAACTCCTTCTTCCAGTTGGCCAGGTTGTGGAAGCTCTGGTTGTCATCCACACTGAATGTGAGCAGACAGCAGTCAGACCCGCGGTAGAAGGGAGTCCTGAGGCTGCGGAAACGCTCCTGTCCGGCCGTGTCCCAGATCTGCATGGTGACCAGACGACCGTCCACCTCCAGGTCCTTGTTAAGGAATTCCACTCCGATGGTGTGGAAGAGGTGCGTGTCAAACTTGTTGGTGACGTAGCGGTTCATGAGGGAGCTCTTCCCCACTCCTCCGTCTCCCAGCAGGATGACTTTCAGCAGAGATGACTTGGTGGCCATGGCTCTTAACAACACGTGGTCTCGTCCTCTGGAAAATAGGACCTGGGGGACAGGATGTAATGTGTAACTAACAACTGTTGCACAATAGCCTTCAGGTTTTTCAAACCTGTTTTGTTTCACCCAAAAAAAAGTATGTATAGGAGCTGGACTTGTTTTTAAGGATGTGCTTATGACCACAAACTCTTCTATAGGAGATATACTTACCTTTACTACTCAGTGTGGATATTCTGAAACCTAGGAAAAAACACTTGAATGTTAGCACTTTATCTTACAGTGGCTTTCACAGCAAATCAACACCCCCCACACACAAAAATAGTGAGAAGGGGAACGTGGTTAACGTTTATTGTGAGTCAGGGAGTTAGATCTGACTTACCCGTGAATTATTGAAGCCTCCAGCTGGGCCGGATCATGTGCTACATACATTAGGTAGTTGGTCACATGCGTCTATGTTTCGTGTCAGTCATTATAATCTTAACCGTGGTCAACATTCAACCAGCTGGAACGAAATAGAAAACAATGTGTTGACATAACCTGCAAGCATATATTTATATTTACATTTTAGTCATTTAGCATACGCTCTTATCCAGAGCGACGTATATATGCAGACAGTACAGTGACTGCACAGCTGTCTGTAACCAGCCCTTCACAAAACATAGCTACCGATACATAAACTGTCACGTCATAGCTAGCTAACAAGTTACATTACTCAATCATAGTTATCGAGCTAGCTAGTTAACTAGAATATGATAGGAAAAAAATGCCAATTAACGGTGGAATACTGTTTGAAACTAACTTAGCGTAGATAGCTAGCTATAACAAATAGGGCAAACATACGCCCTTACAACAGTCGATATTAAGCTATCTAACTGATTTAGCTAGCTAGCGTTGTTACGCTAACTAGCTAGATGGCACATTTCCTTTTCCTGCTGGCTAGCTATCAAGCCAGCTAGCTAACCATTAAGACACTGACAATGGGACTTAATTATTAATTTACCGTTGCCAAGTTTTGAAGAATAAGTTCGACGACTGTGATAATTTCTAGCTTTTTTTCTAGCTGTCCCTTGGATGGGATTCAATGGCAGTTAGCTAGCCTAGCTGCTTCTCGCTCATCAACAACAACTTCTGATGTCTGCGGGCTAACGTTAGCCTCTGTTTCCACTGACTCATGTGACCTAAGAAGTCTTGAATTTTTTGACAGTACTGTCAAATGTTCTCGAGTCTCATCACTCAGTTTGAATATAATATTATTTCTAATAAAATGAATTATAAACAAATACAGCTATGCTGTTGACTAGGTTTTAGCCAGTAAATAGCTAGCTACAGTATTCAATCGAACCTCCAACAAAGACCACATCTGATTCTTACAGACCAGACCAACCAAAGGACGACAAACCCACGGTAGATAGGACCAGACCAGACACCACACGGTAGATGGGACCAGACCAGACACCACACGGTAGATAGGACCAGACCAGACACCACAAGGTAGATACGACCAGACCAGACACCACACGGTAGATAGGACCAGACCAGACACCACACAGTAGATGGGACCAGACCAGACACCACACGGTAGATAGTACCAGACCAGACACCACACGGTAGATGGGACCAGACAAGACACCACACGGTAGATGGGACCAGACCAGACACCACACGGTAGATAGGACCAGACCAGACACCACACGGTAGATGGGACCAGACCAGACACCACACGGTAGATAGTACCAGACCAGACACCACACGGTTAGATAGTACCAAGGACCAGACACCCCAACAGGTAGATGGAACCAGACCGGACACCAAACAGTAGATGGGACCAGACAACACCACACAGTATGATGGGACCCAGCGACCAGGACACCACACGGTAGATAGGACCAGACCAGACACCACACAGTAGATAGGACCAGACACCACACGGTAGATGGGACCAGACCAGACAAATCTAGATACCTTTGGTAGAATCTTTGACCAGAGACCATAGGACAGACAAACTTAAAGATAAAGCATTAGCCTGGTAAATTGTTGATTTATTGTGTGAGTGCACAAAAGCTCCTTTTTAACATTATGCCCCCATGAAACTGTAGGCCCATAGTTTACACTGTCTGGCAGCTGATTTCATGCCTGTAGGCCTAATATTGTCATTGTCTGGTGTGATCTATTTGAGTCCTCCTGGCCAAATAAAGAGCATTCTTCTTTCGCAATGTCTATGGAACACATGCCCTACAAAAGGCTTTTCCACTACTCCACCACCGATGTGTGACTTTCTGTGAGAATAGAGATCGGGGAACAGCATCTTTCTAGCAGTTATGGCAGGTCAAGAATCAAGGTGTGTAAGAGGTTGTGACAGTTTCAGTATACAGGACCCCATAGACTCAGTGACAAGCAGCAGCTATCTGGTGACCACGAGCAAAGACCATGAGAAAAAAATATGAACAGAGCCCTTATAAAAACATGTTTTATGTAATACAAAATGAAAGCGCAATTTACAGCAGTTATGCATTGTTACATACACATACTATGATCATAAAACACGTGTAGCCTTCAAGGGAAGACTTCTTGATTAATCTAATATTAATATTTTGGTTCACGTGACTACATGTTACATGTCTTAGTGTATCTTATTTTGATATATTGCGGCTAACTGCAACATTTCACTTTCACTTAGAAAATGAAAAAGCAACACAATATGTTTTTTGTTGTTGTAGATAAGCCTGGCATATCCTGCCATTTATGTGAAAATAATTGAATATAATGAAAAACATTTGTGAACATTATTGAAAACGGAACTGTATTTATCTAGTGGATCATTTATTTGTGGACACTACTCTTTGTCTTGGTGGCTCAAATTAAAGGAAAAGTTCAAAAGCAGTCTTGTAAACTTGCAGATGAAATCCCTGCACAAACCAATGATGCTCAAACCCTCAGCTGTGCAACACTTTCCTATGTGGACGGCTGAACTGCCAAACATTCTGCAAATACACATTTTTCTAAATACTTGTTGCACATACAGCACAGCAAAAAAATACACCCATAGTTTGGGATTAGGAAGATGTGTGTGTGTGCTCTCTGAAAAGAGCAGACTAAAGGGGGAAACTGCTGCTAGCTCTGCCTCTGAGGTCTGTGTCTAACACAGTGGACTGATTCTACAGGTTCAGAGTTCACAGTTTAAAAGATGGCAGTGTCTTCCTCTTGACAGGAGCCTGAGGTCAGCACCACGTTGTCCAGCCCAATCTCTCCCCCAACTCCATTCCCACGCTCAGCTTCAAAGATTATCTGCAGAATGAGAGCAAAGATGTTGATTAGATATTTTGGAAATTTGGGACTTGTGTGGTTTATTTTGTTCCCTTCGACAGTGGCCATATTGGCAAGTGTGGTGATTAAATGAACAACATTGAGCTGGTAAATCCGGCATTCACAGAACATACTATTATCTACTGACACCGGCACCATTCTATGGGTCCTTTATCATTCTAGGTGTTTGGAATGGAAATGGTGACTCACAGATTCTGGGGCCTGGTTCTTCCAGGCCACAGTGAGCAGTTCTGTCTGCCAATCCTGTCCCCGGCTGTGGCTCTGCTCCCACACTGGGTAGGCTCTGTTGTTTAGCAGCACCCGCAGCGTGCCCACCTGGCTGCCCGTCACGCGGTAGTTGAAGGTGAGGCAGAAGCCTCCCTGCTGGGCCCGGTCACTGAGGAGCAGCTTTAGCCTGGCCTGGTCCAGCTTCTCCCCCAGAAGACCACTCATAGCCATGTAGTACTTGATACCTGGAGATTAGGGACCATGGACACAGGCTGATCAGTGATAGTCACAGGGGGTTAGGGACCAGGGACACAGGCTGATCAGTGATAGTCACAGGGGGTTAGGGACCAGGGACACAGGCTGATCAGTGATAGTCATTAGCGTATGACTAACAGCTATTTGGGAATAGTTAGTCTGGAAGATAGATTCAGACGATCATGTGGACAATAAAGGATTTACCTTATTGGTCATTGTATAAAACTATATGCATCTACATGGCAAATATAGAAGGTAAATACTATTTATGCCCAATTAATAGTATAATTTGTACCGTTTTCATGGTAGGACACGCTCCAGTCGAATCTATCGTCCTTGTCTTGCACCCACTCACACGCGCCCTGATCGAAGTTGCAGTCCATGAAGAACTCTGGAAGGCACAGTCAGATGTCAACAATTCACAGGGATTATGAAGGTATGGTTACCCACATTATGTTAACAAGTAAAGCAAGGATTACCTTCCTGTCCTGGAGCTATTTCGATCTCTTTGACATCCGTTGCAGAATCAAATACTGACTCAAAGTCCTCTGGAACTGATTTGGGAGAGAGATAACTCTTTTAAGATAAGGTCCAGCAAATGTCAAAACAATGTAGTTCACTTTTGCAAAAAGCACACAAAAAAAAGAAGACAAGACATATTCAAACAGGATATCAACAGCCTTGATTATTGTTTATGTAAATCATTTTCTAAACAGATAATATAGCTCTATCAAAACAAGCTCTATCAAAACAAGCCATTTCAGTTACAAGCATTCTTCTGAAGATATGTGAATCATGAAGATCCTCCAGATGATTATGCAGTTGAGAGATTTCCCCTCATAAAACAAAAGCCAGTAAGGGGCTTTTTACCTGCAAGTGGAAAATGCCTGCCCTTCTGCCATTTATCTGTCAAGATGGTGCATTAAAGCTCTCCCAACAAACTTCCCCCTTCACTGAGTTGCCCTAGACAACCAGATGTACAGTGAGGGAAAAAATGTATTTGATTCCCTGCTGATTTTGTACGTTTGCCCACTGACAAAGAAATGATCAGTCTATAATATTAATGGTAGGTTCATTTTAACAGTGAGAGACAGAATAACAACAACAAAATCCAGAAAAATGTTATAAATTGATTTGCATTTTAATGAGGGAAATAAGTATTTGACCCCCTCTCAATCAGAAATATTTCTGGCTCCCAGGTATCTTTTATACAGGTAACGAGCTGAGATTAGGAGCACACTCTTAAAGGGAGTGCTCCTAATCTCAGTTTGTTACCTGTATAAAATACATCTGTCCACAGAAGCAATCAGTTAATCATATTCCAAACTCTCCACCATGGCCAAGACCAAAGAGCTCTCCAAGGATGTCAGGGACAAGATTGTAGACCTACACAAGGCTGGAATGGGCTACAAGACCATCGCCAAGCAGCTTGGTGAGAAGGTGACAACAGTTGGTGTGATTATTCGCAAATGGAAGAAACACAAAAGACCTGTCAATCTCCCTCGGCCTGGGGCTCCATGCAAGATCTCACCTCGTGGAGTTGTAATGATCATGAGAACGGTGAGGAATCAGCCCAGAACTACACGGGAGGATCTTGTCAATTATCTCAAGGCAGCTGGGACCATAGTCACCAAGAAAACAATTGGTAACACACTACGCCGTGATGGACTGAAATCCTGCAGCGCCCGCAATGTTCCCCTGCTCAAGAAAGCACATATACATGCCCGTCTGATGTTTCCCGAGTGGCACAGTGGTCTAAGGCACTGCATCGCAGTGCTAGCTGTGCCACTAGAGATCCTGGTTCGAATCCAGGCTCTGTCGTAGCTGGCCGCGACCGGGAGACCCATGGGGCGGCGCACAATTGGCCCAGCGTTGTCCAGGGTAGGGGAGGGAATGGCCGGCAGGGATGTAGCTCAGTTGGTAGAGCATGGCGTTGGGTTGTGGGTTCGATTCCCACGGGGGGCCAGTATGAAAAATAAAAAAATAATGTATGCACTAACTGTAAGTCGCTCTGGATAAGAACGTCTGCTAAATGACTAAAATGTAAATGAAGTTTGCCAACGAACATCTGAATGATTCAGAGGAGAACTGGGTGAAAGTGTTATAGTCAGATGAGACCAAAATGGAGCTCTTTGGCATCAACTCAACTCGCCGTGTTTGGAGGAGGAGGAATGCTGCCTATGACCCCAAGAACACCATCCCCACCGTCAAACATGGAGGTGGAAACATTATGCTTTGGGGGTGTTTTTCTGCTAAGGGGACAGGACAACTTTACCGCATCAAAGGGACGATGGACGGGACGATGGTCGTGGATGGATATTCCAGCATGACAATGACCCAAAACACACGGCCAAGGCAACAAAGGAGTGGCTCAAGACGAAGCACATTAAGGTCCTGAAGTGGCCTAGCCAGTCTCCAGACCTTAATCCCATAGAAAATCTGTGGAGGGAGCTGAAGGTTCGAGTTGCCAAACGTCAGCCTCAAAACCTTAATGACTTGGAGAAGATCTGCAAAGTGGAGTGGGACAAAATCCCTCCTGAGATGTGTGCAAACCTGGTGGCCAACTACAAGAAACATCTGACCTCTGTGATTGCCAACAAGGGTTTTGCCACCATGTACTAAGTCATGTTTTGCAGAGGGGTCAAATACTTATTTCCCTCATTAAAATGCAAATCAATTTATAACATTTTTGACATGCGTTTTTCTGGATTTTGTTGTTGTTATTCTGTCTCTCACTGTTCAAATAAACCTACCATTAAAATTATAGACTGATCATTTCTTTGTCAGTGGGCAAGCGTACAAAATCGGCAGGGGATCACATACTTTTTTCCCCCCTCACTGTATGCAACTTTGCTAATTGAACCCTGACCAGCCGGAGAAGGCTGGTGTTTGAGGGGGTTTGAGGAGCTGATGACAGACTCTCTCTTTCAAGGACTCAGGTCTGTTTGCTGAACAGCTGTTCCGAGGGACGATAATACAAGTCTGTGCATGCACAGGGAGAACTGTGTGTATCCTGAGGTGCTCACATGGTGGCGGAGTGAAATTCCTCCCTGGAGCTGATGGCTGTCTCGGGGCCTGTCTCCTCTTGCTTTCTGAGTCTTCCAGGCTACTGTCAGACGTGTTTCCATGAAGATATCAACACTAGTGGCGAATGGCATCCTTGTTACCGGTGGTGTAAAGTACTACTTAAGTAGTTATTTTGGATATCTGTACTTTACTATTTATATTTTTGACAACTTTTACTTTTACTTCACTACATTCCTAAAGACAATATTGTACTTTTTACTCCATACATTTTCCCTGACAACCAAAAGTACTCGTTACATTTTGAATGCATAGCAGGACAGGAAAAATGTCAAATTCACACACTCTTCAAGAGAACACGTGGTCATCCCTACTGCCTTACTTTTGATACTTAAGTATATTTAAAACCAAATACTTTTACTCAAGTAGTATTTTACTGTCTGACTTTCACTTGAGTAACTTTCTATTAAGGTGTCTATACTTTACTCAAGTATGACAATTGGATACTTTTTCCACCACTGCTTGTTACTGTCTCACTGAGAGGCATACCAATTGCGCAAGTGATCCTTTGCCCACTCGCGGATGGGTTTTGATCTTAAAATGGAGAGCCAATAATCCTAGCTATCTTAGCCAAATCTCCATTTAGGAGAAATGAGTAGACCTTTGCCACCACCGTGACGACCAGATGCTCTCCGGCTATGAGTGGAAACGTAGTCAGATGAAGAAAGAGGAGCTGGAGTAGCAGAGTTCTATGGGGTGATCCAGATCTCCGTCAGGGCCAAAACGTCAAGGGACTGAAGGGCAGCATAGACTGCAGAGGCACCTTGTGTGTATGTGTGTTTTATACCAAGAGCTAAGCGTCTTCTTCTTTCTAAACAAAATGATTTGGCATGAGCTGATTATACTGCTCTCTATGCTATCTCTTCATGATATTTCTGTCCCACAATCTCTCAAGGGTTCCTACTTGGTTTTCAACCTTAATTTTCAGCCCATGGCCAGAGAAGGAGAAGGTTAGAGAAGTGGTCATGTTTGACTGATGGCCTCGGTGCATCCACCTCTTTCCCAGGCCTGGTTGTGTGGGATTGTCACACTGGTAGTCAGCACTTTCGTTTCAACAGCTGTTTTTCTGTCCTTAGTCTTCCCTTCAAAAGGTCAATGTCAAATGACAGGGGCGAAACAGAATACTGGTTTCAAACACTAGGACCAGATCCGTTTGATTACATCAACCAACATGCACAGAGCGTATTGAACTAGACGCAGCATTTAACGGTAACTTAGTTCAACTTCATGATTGAGTGTATTCATCCTCTTGCTACATCTTATTTAGAGCAGGATGTAACACATTAAGAGCTCTTCTAACGTAAGCTAATGTGTTGAGGTCTCATCCTCTAACCACATTAGGTATTTACAGGATTTGATGCATCTACAGCATGTGAATCTAATATGTGAAACAGGAGGCCATTCTCTGCTTACTGATAATATGTGAAAACAGAGGCCATTGTCTGTGTACTGATAATACGTATTTTAAATCAGTGCACAGAACATGAAGCAACAGGCTGAATTCTGACACACACTCAGGTCCAGGGCTTAAAACAGAGCTTTTATTGTGGAATGGTAATCCTCAAGCTAATGCTGCCCGACAGGCTGACGCCACACCACGTTTGATATGTCTTAAAAGCGCCAGAAGTAAGGGACTCAATCCAGGCATTTAGTCCAGCTAACCGAACCAGCCTGATGGTCTGGGGGGTAGAAGCTATTGGCCAGTCTGTTAGTTTTAGCCATGATGCTCCTGTACTGCCTGTGTCCGAGTGATGGAAACATGGAGAACAGGCTGTGGCTCAGTTTGCTGAGGTCCCTGATAATCTTCTTGGCCTTCCTGCAACATAGGTGTCCTGGAGGGCAGACAGTGTGTGCACCCAATGGTGCATTCGGCTGAGCGTGCCACCCTCTGTCATGCCTTGCGGTCAGCGGCGGTGGAGTTGCTATACCAGGCTGTGATGCAGCCCGACAGTATGCTCTCGATGGTGCGCCTGTAGAACACTGTGAGGGCCCTCGGGGACAGGCCAAATTTCTTCAGCATCCTGAGGTTAAAGAAATGCTGTCGTGCCTTCTTCACCATTCAATTCAGTTACTTTCCCTTTCTTGGGCACGGGGATGATAGTGGACATCTTGAAGAAGGTGGGTATAATGGCCTGAGCTAGAAAATGTCTGAAAACACAACAGCTAGCTGGTCTGCACATGCTCTGTGAGGGCCTCAGGGGCTCAGAGTAATTTTTCTCGAAGTGTGAGAAAAGGGTGTTTAGCTCATCCGGGAGGGCAGCGTTGGTATCATCCGATAGGGCGGCGTTGGTATCATCCGGTAGGGCGGCATTGGTATCATCCGGTAGGGCGGCGTTGGTATCATCCGGTAGGGCGGCGTTGGTATCATCCGGTAGGGCGGCGTTGGTATCATCCGGTAGGGCGGCGTTGGTATCATCCGGTAGGGCGGCGTTGGTGTCCTCGATGTCATTCGCTTTCTTTTTGTAATAGTTAGAAGCCACATACGCCTCATATCCGACCCGCTGAATCCACTTCGACCCTATACTCATGCCTCCAGCAAGATGGCGCAGACAGACATTCTTGTTATTGTCAATTTGATTCAACCAATCATCAGTAATTTCTGTCATTGCAGTACATGTTGTGTGCACTTCTCTATTAGCATGCTGAAAGTCTGTTGTTAATTTGTTTACAGAGAAGTAGCATTGTATTTGTTTAAACACAATTTTTTCCAACAGTTTGCTAAGAGCTGGTAGCAAGCTGATAGGTCTGCTGTTAGAACCAGCAAAAGCCGCTTTACCACTCTTGGGTAGCGGAATGACTTTGGCTTCCCTCCAGGCCTGAGGACAAAGACTTTCCTCTAGGCTCAGATTAAAGATATGACAGATAGGAGTGGTTATAGAGTCAGCTACCATCCTCAGTAGCTTTTCCATTATTCCCCAACCCCCAAATATAAAATAAATAAATGCAAGATGCCGCCGACAGACATGGCAGCTCTGCTTCTAGCTCCTGAGCAACTTTGCAGTATTTTGTTTTTTTGGTGTGTTATTTCTTACGTTATTAGCCCAGAACGTGTTTTGTGTTATTACATACAGCCAGAAATAACTTTTGGATATCAGAGCGGCGGTAACTCACCAGCATTACAACCAGTAATACGACTTTTCCGTACTGGATCCTTTTTTCGTACCCCCCTAAATGACTATCGCCCCATAGCAATCACTTCTGTCATCATGAAGTGCTTTGAGAGTCTAGTTAAGGATCATATCACCTCTACCTTACCTGACACCCTAGACCCACTTCAATTTGCTTACCGCCCCAATAGATCCACAGACGATGCAATCGCCATCGCACTGCACACTGCCCTATCCCATCTGGACTAGAGGAATACCTATGTAAGAATGCTGTTCATTGCCTATGGCTCAGCCTTCAACACCATAGTACCCTCCAAGCTCATCATTAAGCTCGGGGCCCTGGGTCTGAACCCCGCCCTGTGCAACTAGGTCCTGGACTTCCTGATGGGCAGCCCCAATGTGGTGAAGGTAGGAAACAACACCTCCACTTCACTGATCCTCAACACAGGTTTCCCACAAGGGTGCATGCTCAGCCCCTCCTACACTCCCTGTTCACCCACGACTGCGTGGCCACGCACACCTCCAACTCAATCATCAAGTTTGCAGACGACACAACAGTAGTAGGCCTGATTACCAACAATGACGAAACAGCCTACAGGGAGGAGGTGAGGGCCCTGGCGGAGTGGTGCCAGGAAAATAACCTCTCCTTAAACGTCAACAAAATGAAGGAGCTGATCGTGGACTTCAATAAACAGCAGACATCGATGGGACCACAGTGGAGAAGGTGAAAAGCTTCAAGTTCCTCGGCGTACACATCACTGACAATCTGAAATGATCCACCCACACAGACAGTGTGGTGAAGAAGGCGCAACAGCGCCTCTTCAACCAGGAGTTTGAAGAAATTCCCTTACAAACTTTTACAGATGCACAATTGAGAGCATTATGTCTGGCCGTATCACCGCCTGGTACGGCAACTGCACCGCCCGCAACCGCAGGGCTCTCCAGAGGGTGGTGCGGTCTGCCCAACGCATCACCGGGGGCACACTGCCTGCCCTCCAGGACCCCTACTGCACCCGATGTGACAGGAAGGCCAAAAAGATCATCAAGGACATCAACCACCCGAGCCATGGCCTGTTCACCCTGCTATCATCCAGAAGGCGAGGTCAGTACAGGTGCATCAAAGCTGGGACAGAGAGACTAAAAAACAGCTTCTATCTCAAGGCCATCAGACTGTTAAGCAGCCATCACTAGCCGGCTACCAATGGTTAATCAACCCTGCACCTTAGAGGCTGCTGCCCTATATACATAGACATGGAATCACTGGCCACTTTAATAATGTTTACATACTGCCTTACTCATCTCATATGTATATACTGTATTCTATTCTACTGTATTTTAGTCTATGCCACTTCGACATTGCTCGTCCTAATATTTATATATTTCTTATTCCATTCTTTTACATTTAGATTTGTGTGTATTGTTGTGAATTATTAGATACTACTGCACTGTTGGAGCTAGGAACACAAGCATTTCACTACACCCGCAATAACAGGAGTAAAGGAGGACGGGAGATGGCCTCATACCCATGTCAAAAAGGAAAGTAGCAGTGTTCCAGCGTAGAATCTCTGAGAGTTGGACAGTCAATATGTTTATAGTAATTCAGGAGCACGGTTCTCAAATTACTTTTGTTAAAGTCGAAAAATGAACGCTGCCTCCAGGTACTCAGTCTCCAGTTTGTTCAGGGTCCAATGAAGATCTTTGAGAGCATTTTTGGTGTCGGCATGGGGTGGGATGTACACAGCCATGGTGATAATCCCTGAGAACTCTCTTGGAAGGTAAAAATGGCGGCAATAAATTACGAAGAATTCCAAGTTGGGAGAGCAGAAGCTCGCAAGTTCCTGTCTGTTTTCCCCGTCGCACCACATGTTATTGGTCATATTGGTCAAGCTGCTTGGTCAAGCTGCTCAAAACCCGCTCGTTGTATTCATGGGTTGAATATTTCATCACAATATTGTTTTGAACATTGGTTTTGGACTGATGCTAGACTGAGCGTTCTACTCAATGCATCGTCAATGTGTGCTGATGAAGATTTCATCAAAAGTGCTAGGAAATATAATGAAGTTCAAAAGGAGGCAAATAATTAGTAGGAAAACCTTTTGTCATCATTTTGATGTCGCCCGATTGACTTTAGATGCAGTATAACGTTAGCTAGCTAGCTAAGATTGAGGGGAGGCCATCTAATTTTAGCTAGCTAACGTTAGCATTGCTAGCTATTTTTGACTAACTTTGCTAGCTAATGACAACATTGCCATCTGTCTAAAGTAAATTTGACAACATGATAAGGCTGGTAAAGTTGTTTCCTACTAAATATTTGACTACTTTAGCAATGTCATCGTTTTTTACCAGGCACTATAGTGTAATTTAGACTAAGCAGTAGTCAGCCTCTGTCCAGAATGACTGGGCTTATCACCACTTTAGGGCACCACTATGGCGCCGCCGGTAGAGAGCGGCTTGAGAATGTTCATAACAATGGCATGACGCGAGCGAGTGAGGGAGGTGCAACCTACGACTATAATCCGTTTGGATGTCGGAGGAAAGCCAGGTCTCAGGAAAAAAAAGAGTATGTTGCAGAATCTAATGTCCCTCTGAAAGGAGATCCTCGCTTGGAGTTCGTCAAGTTTATTCACTAAAGATTGAACATTGGCGAGTAGTATGCTCGATAAGGGACGACGGGTCGCCCGGCTTCTCAGGCTCACTAATCCCCCCCCCCCCATCTGCTTCTCCATTCTCCATCTTCGTTTCCAAGATAGTGTGTATACGTATGAAGTTCAATTGTGATAGATGAGTGTTTTATTCCATGTCTTAGGTTCATATAACAGACGCCTACGTATTTAGTGCATTTTTACAATGAGAAGGAAGAAACAACGCCCTGACAGTGGATGATATCTAAATCATTGGAATAAGAGATTCTGCATAAGAAGACCGATGGATAAGACTAGACTTCCTTCAAGCGTGGCCAAGAAACGTGCAGCCAGGTTCGGGAAGGCTTGTAATTAGGCCAGTCCTTAGACTCCATAAATACCCCCTGTTAGGAGACATCTTTAAAAAAGTTGTCCAGAGAGGATGTAGGTCTGTGTGAAGGCATAGGAGTGACTAATAGAGAGACTGATGGACAGCCGGGTCATAGGGTCATAGGGTCATAGGGTCGTTGCAGGGTACACAGCACTAACCCTGTGACCATCCATGTCCTAACTTTGCCTGGTTATGTGTTTGAAAGCGTCCTGTATACTGTAATTTGGGGGCGTATATTATGTGCAACCCTCCTAAATTTAACAGGGTGAAGAGAACAGCACGTATCACAAATTCGGGGATTGTATTTCTGAATGAGTACGAGTGCTGCACATTACCACAGCAGTAATGGTGTATGAACTTCCATAGGATCAGTGTTGGAATAATCCGATTTGGGACCACCCACGATGGCAATAAATAGGAGGATTAGTGGGAAGAAGTTAGAGGGGAAAAAAAGGCTTACTGAAAACATCTCCTCTTGAATTAAGCTGGTTGTCCACATCTGCCTCCTCATCTTCCTCCTCCCCTATATCAGTGAAGGCCACCTGGCCCACCTCCTCTGAGCCACGCGTATAGGTCTCCCCGTCATAGTCGAAGGGCTGCAAGCGGATCTGAGGGGGGACGGTCACCTGGGGCTCGGGGATGACGTTCCTGATCTGCTCGTTGTCCAGCCTCACTGGCGACTCTGGGATAGCTGCAGGACGAAGAGCCACATCAGACCTCTGGGACTACAGACGTGGAATCTGATGCAATTATACAAGAGTTTAGGTGGACATTCTGGGGTTACCCCACCATTATAGATTATAAAGATATTATGGATTATAAAGATATTATAGATTATAAAGATATTATGGATTATAAAGGCTTTATAGATTATAAAGATATTATGGATTATAAAGATATTATGGATTATAAAGATATTATGGATTATAAAGATATTATGGATTATAAAGCCATTATAGATAATAAAGAAGCCATTATAGATTATAAAGGCTTTATAGATTATAAAGATATTATGGATTCTAAAGCCATTAAAGATAATAAAGAAGCCATTATAGATTATAAAGGCTTTATAGATTATAAAGATATTATGGATTATAAAGGCTTTATAGATAGTAAAGATATTATGGATTATAAAGGCTTTATAGATAATAAAGATATTATGGATTATAAAGCCATTATAGATAATAAAGAAGCCATTATAGATTATAAAGGCTTTATAGATTATAAAGATATTATGGATTATAAAGCCATTATAGATAATAAAGAAGCCATTATAGATTATAAAGGCTTTATAGATTATAAAGATATTATGGATTATAAAGCCATTATAGATAATAAAGAAGCCATTATAGATTATAAAGGCTTTATAGATTATAAAGATATTATGGATTATAAAGCCGTTATAGATAATAAAGAAGCCATTATAGATTATAAAGGCTTTATAGATTATAAAGATATTATGGATTATAAAGCCATTATAGATAATAAAGAAGCCATTATAGATTATAAAGCCATTATAGGATATAAAGACAAGTGACAAAACATACATCAGACAGTATATCACTATAATTTGTTCTTAATAACTTACCTTGTTCATTGAAATACATGTATTTGCTTTTCTGTAAACATGTTGTCATAGACATGACAGATGAGCATAGAGAGAAGGACAACAGACTGGAACATCATACTCCATGCATGGGAGGCATGACAGCCAGCCTCAGCCACATACAGTGCATTCGGAAAGTAGTCAGACCCCTTGACTTTTTCCACATTTTGTTACGTTACAGCCTTATTCTAACATTTATTAAATTACTTTTTTTTCCTCATCAATCTACACACAATACCCCATAATGACAAAGTGAAAACATGTTTTTAGAAATGTTTGCAAATGTATTAAAAATAAAAAACAGAAATACCTCATTTACGTAAGTATTCAGACCCTTTGCTATGAGACTCGAAATTGAGCTCAGGTGCATCCTGTTTCCATTGTTCATCCTTGAGATGTTTCTACAACTTGATTGGAGTCCACCTGTGGTAAATTCAATTGATTGGACATGATTTGGAAAGGCACACACCTGTCTATATAAGGTCCCACAGTTGACAATGCATGTCAGAGCAAAAACCAAGCCATGAGGTCGAAGGACTTGTCCGTAGATCTCCGAGACAGGATTGTGTCGAGGCACAGATCTGGAGAAGGGTACCAAAAAATGTCTGCAGCATTGAAGGTCCCCAAGAACACAGTGGCCTCCATCATTCTTAAATGGAAGAAGTTTGGAACCACCAAGACTCTTCTTAGAGCTGGCCGACTGGACAAACTGAGCAATAGGGGGAGAAGGGACTTGGTCAGGTAGGTGACCAAGAACCCGATGGTCGCTTTGACAGAGCTCCAGAGTTCCTCTGTGGAGATGGGAGAACCTTCCAGAAGGACAAACATCTCTGCAGCACTCTACCAATCAGGCCTTTATGGTAGAGTGGCCAGACGGAAGCCACTCCTCAGTAAAAGGCACAACAGCCTGCTTGGAGTTTGCCAAAAGGCACCTAAAGACTCTCAGACCATGAGAAACAAGATTCTCTGGTCTGATGAAACCAAGATTGAACTCTTTGGCCTGAATGCCAAGCGTCACATCTGGAGGAAACCTGGCACCATCCCTACGGTGAAGCATGGTGGTGGCAGAATCATGCTGAGGGGATGTTTTTCAGCGGCAGGGACTGGGAGACTAGTCGGGATCGAGGGAAAGATGAACGGACCAAAGTACAGAGCGATCCTTGATGAAAACCTGCTCCAGAGCGCTCACAACCTCAGACTGGGGTGAAGGGTCACCTTCCAACAGGACAACGACCCTAAGCACACAGCCAAGACAACGCAGGAGTGGCTTCGGGACAAGTCTCTGAATGTCCTTGAGTGGCACAGCCAGAGCCCGGACATGATTCCGATCTAACATCTCTGGAGAGACCTGAAAATAGATGTGCAGCAACGCTCTCCATCCAACCTGACAGAACTTGAGAGGATCTGCAGAGAAGAATGGGAGAAACTCCCCAAATACAGGTGTGCCAAGCTTGTAGCGTCATACCCAAAAAGACAAGAGGCTGTTATCGCTGCCAAAGGTGCTTCAACAAAGTACTGAGTAAAGGGTCTGAATACTTATGTAAATGTGATATTTCCGTTTTTTATTTTGTATAAATGTGCAAAAAAAATCTAAAATCCTGTTTTTGCTTTGTCAAATTGGGGTATTGTGTGTAGATTGATGAGGGGAAAAAAACTATTTAATCCATGTTAGAATAAGGCTGTAAGGTAACAAAATGTGGAAAAAGTCAAGGGATCTGAATGCATCTAATTTACTGTTCTATGTACAGGCATATCCCATACTTGAAAAGTCTGAAATGGTTTCATGCTGAGTTCTACATGGCATAACAAGCTGTGTGTGGTGGGGACAGGACGTAGCCAGCCTTGAGCCATGGGAGAGGGAGGGGAGGAGGGTTTCACAAAGCAAAATCGTAGGCGGGGGGAGGAGGGGGCTGGGTCACGGGGACGCGTCAGGGCGAGGTGCAAACAGAGGAAGTGGAAAGCCTTATTGCATTCCATACACATCTCACCATTTAGGACATGATCATCTGCACTGCCATTGTCTCCCTGGTCCCACGAGCTTTGATAAAGGGGCTTGACTACAAAAACATAAAGGCATCTTCGTTTACACAAAGCCCTGAGGCCTCGTTGCACCTATTATGTCACCAAGGCAACATCAACTACTGCCTGGTTCAGAGAGTGCACTGTGGCTCCCCTGTTCCCAGGCAGACATACGGACAGTCACACATGCCTCTCCTTTCCTCTGTCCTTCAGATGGCTGGGTTCAGATATTTACACAGGTGTGATTTGAATCAGGGCCTCTCCCTGTGTAACATCTGTAGAGTGCAGAGGTTCTCTGAAAACGGGAAACTGGCTTTGGCAGTGCTCATGTTTGCTGATGTTGTTAAGAGCACAGATGAAATATGCAATTGTAAAATCACTAAGGAGGGATGTCAGAGACATTTTACTCATGTGTCGGATGCAAACTATCAGTTATAAGAGCTGAATATGGTATATGCTGTCTGGAAAATAAACACTGTTTGATTATGGCCCCCCTTGCACATCAAAACTTTTCTATCAAATAGTTTTTACTCTCAGAATGATTTGATAATAATAATATGCCATTTAGCAGACGCTTTTTTCCCAAGCGACTTACAGTCATGCGTGCATACATTTTTGTGTATGGGTGGTCCCGGGGATCGAACCCACTACCTTGGCGTTACAAGCGCCGTGCTCTACCAGCTGAGCTACAGAGGACCATGATTGATGAATAGTACATCTGTTCAGGTCTCACCAGAGCATTCGAAGCCACTGCCACGGAAGCCTTGCTTGCACTTGCACTTGTAGGATCCCTGAGTGTTCAGACAGACTGCACGGGGGCTGCACTTGTGTGTGTTGGTGGCACACTCGTCGTTGTCTGAAAAAATGACATGAGCTGATTTGATCAGCTGATCTCCTCACTGAATTATTGATAGCAAAATCATTGTATGTGTGAAAATGATTGCATACCTTACCTACACAGTCATATTTGCCATTGACATACGTCAGGTCGTAGCCGTTCTGACACTTGCAGTAGTAGCTGCCAAACGTGTTGACACACTGTCGGTTGTATGGGCACAGGTTCTTCCCTGTTACACATTCATCAATATCTAAAAGACAAAATGAAATGGAGGAAAGAAAGGGACGTTGTCAGTAGGCTGAACATGAAATTAAATGACTTCACTTATTTTTTCTCCATTGTAGTGAAGGGTTAATATTTGGATCAGTGTAAACCCTTCCTTACTGACACAAGTTTAGCACCACAATAGAAGTGCGCAGACTGGCTCCCACTCAAATCAAGCAGTTTAGTGGGAAGAAACAATACCCCATTTTAACCCACATCACTACCCTATTTTAACCCACATCATTACCCCATTTTTACCCACACAATACCCCATTTTAACCCACATCATTACCCCATTTTTACCCACACACTACCCCATTTTAACCCACATCACTACCCCATTTTAACCCACATCACTACCCTATTTTAACCCACATCACTACCCTATTTTAACCCACATCATTACCCCATTTTTACCCACACACAACCCCATTTTAACCCACATGCTGCTACAGATGATTAAGTTCGTATGCGAGAAGCCTTGAGACAGAGCAGGAATGTGAAACCACAGAATGGAGTCTTTACAAAGCTTTACAAAGCTCCAAGAAGTCCACCCCTTCTATTGTGTACAGCACTTGCTGATCTATGAGGTGGAGAGGTCCAGCGAGAACCGGTATGAACTCCTCATGGAGTGATATAGTGTCAGGGTGGTGGTCCAAGGTGGTGGTACTCACCCACACAGGTCCTCTGGTCTGGCCCTAGCTGCAGCCCCGCCGACGGGCAGAGACAACGGATCTCCCCCTGTACATCCTCACAGCCATACTGACAGTGTGCCAGGGAGCACGTCCTGGAGTCTACACACACACACACACACACACACACACACACACACACACACACACACACACACACACACACACACACAGGAAACTGAACTTCTTAAACACTAAAAGGTTCTGTGTAGTACATTTAGAACTAACAGTGATATCTCAGAGTGAATAGCGGCAGGTACAGTCGGGGTTACAGTTTCCACTACCAGGTACATTTGGGGGTACAGTTTCCACTAGCAGGTACAGTCGGGGTTACAGTTTCCACTAGCAGGTACAGTCGTGGTTACAGTTTCCACTACCAGGTACATTTGGGGGTACAGTTTCCACTAGCAGGTACAGTCGGGGTTAGAGTTTCCACTAGCAGGTACAGTCGGGGTTAGAGTTTCCACTAGCAGGTACAGTCGGGGTTACAGTTTCCACTAGCAAGTACAGTCGGGGTTAGAGTTTCCACTAGCAGGTACAGTCGGGGGTACAGTTTCCACTAGCAGGTACAGTCGGGGTTAGAGTTTCCACTAGCAGGTACAGTCGGGGTTAGAGTTTCCACTAGCAGGTACAGTCGGGGTTAGAGTTTCCACTAGCAAGTACAGTCGGGGTTAGAGTTTCCACTAGCAAGTACAGTCGGGGTTAGAGTTTCCACTAGCAAGTACAGTCGGGGTTAGAGTTTCCACTAGCAGGTACAGTCGGGGTTACAGTTTCCACTAGCAAGTACAGTCGGGGTTAGAGTTTCCACTAGCAGGTACAGTCGGGTTTACAGTTTCCACTAGCAAGTACAGTCGGGGTTAGAGTTTCCACTAGCAAGTACAGTCGGGGTTAGAGTTTCCACTAGCAAGTACAGTCGGGGTTAGAGTTTCCACTAGCAGGTACAGTCGGGGTTAGAGTTTCCACTAGCAGGTACAGTCGGGGTTACAGTTTCCACTAGCAGGTACAGTCGGGGTTACAGTTTCCACTAGCAGGTACAGTCGGGGTTAGAGTTTCCACTAGCAGGTACAGTCGGGGTTACAGTTTCCACTAGCAGGTACAGTCGGGGTTACAGTTTCCACTAGCAGGTACAGTCGGGGTTAGAGTTTCCACTAGCAGGTACAGTCGGGGTTAGAGTTTCCACTAGCAGGTACAGTCGGGGTTAGAGTTTCCACTAGCAGGTACAGTCGGGGTTAGAGTTTCCACTAGCAGGTACAGTCGGGGTTAGAGTTTCCACTAGCAGGTACAGTCGGGGTTAGAGTTTCCACTAGCAGGTACAGTCGGGGTTAGAGTTTCCACTAGCAGGTACAGTCGGGGTTAGAGTTTCCACTAGCAGGTACAGTCGGGGTTAGAGTTTCCACTAGCAGGTACAGTCGGGGGTACAGTTTCCACTCACTGGTACAGGAGCCATCAGGCATCAGGGTGTGTCCATTGAGGCAGTAACACATGTAGCTGCCTTGGGTGTTCATGCAGCGATGCTCACAGGGGCGGGGCTTCAGGCCACACTCATTCAGATCTGGACAGAGAGACTGTCATCCTCAGTTATGTACTTCAGGGACATGTATGTATGGCTATAGATATCAGTTTGAAATCAGAAATGATGCCCCGGGGGCTTCTATAAGTCTATGGTGGCTTCCCTGAGACATCATACTTGAATATTGTCCCATGGACATCATACCTTATGTAGTTCCATTGGCAACATATTATATACTGTTTGGGTTTCTCCAGATTAACTATTCTACATTTGCAGAAATTGAATAGCTTGATATCTACATACTGAGGCATCTTTAAAGGTGCCAAAACATGATGATCAAGTGATCTATCAGGGGATGACGACGGAGACAGGCTACAAATCTGAGCTTCAAGTTGATCTCCATCAAGAGACCACTTTGACGCACATTCCATTGACCCTAGTCACCCTACTGACCTTGATTGCACATCTTTCCGGCGTATCCTGGGTAACACTTGCATTTGTTGGGGCCAGCACACTCTCCGTGCTTACAGCCGTGTTCACACTGAGCTGATGAAGTATTTTAAGAGAGAAATAGAAACAGCAGCAATAAGGGGGGTTAAAACAGGTCACCTGACACAACATAGTGTACGTGCCAGTTTTACATTTAGCCCACATTTCTTCTGGTGCAGGAAAATACCCCGCCGCAAAGAAAAACAAAAGTGAAAACCCATTATATTGTGCAGAACAATTTGAATTCTCAAACTTTAGTTTTCCATTGACTGAATACTGTATCTATTTACAGTATGTTATATTTTCAATCAGAGAAAGTTACAAAGAAAAAGTTAAATTGATGACCAGAGCAATGCAAAGACAATTCCAATCATTACAAAAAACATGGCAAGGTCACGTACAGTACATCTCAACCAAACGTAACCACCTACAGTACATCTCAACCAAACGTAACCACCTACAGTACATCTCAACCAAACGTAACCACCTACAGTACATCTCAACCAAACGTAACCACCTACAGTACATCTTAACCAAATGTAAACACAACTTGTTTTGTTGAAATACTCACCTTCACACTGTCCCTTGCTGTTCTTTCTCCAGCCATAGCAACACTCCAGTCTCCTGCCATAGCGACACACACCTGGTTGGCCACCGGCGTGGACTTGTCTGCGGTGCCTGTACAGTTAAAGGACAGGTGACACACAACTCTATCTACCCTGTTAAATCTCTGGTTGAACTGGTCTCCATTCCTTCAGGGACAGTTGAATGTGAGTTGATTGACTACAGCTGCTTGATTAGGAATAATACAATTGGTGAGTAAAGTTTGATCATAATACTTTGTTGATCATAACTTTATAATGGATCGAAGAAGAAAACAAATGCCCAAATGAATGAATAAAAGTTGCAGTAAATATACTGCAAATAGAGGAGATAATTGGATCACTAAACATGTCCCATGTGCTTTTTGGTGACAATCGACTTCAACACATCCATAGTCTCATTTAGTCATCCCAAATGCAGCCCTGCAGACATCCCAGCTAATTACACCATGGAAGTGCTGTAGAAAACCGACAGGTCAAATAAAGTTCCCCCTGGCTCCCTCCTATTGGGAGAAACAGGCTCCTCCTATTGGGAGAAAAGGGCTCCTCCTATTGGGAGAAAAGAGCTCCTATTGGGAGAAAAGGGCTCCTTCTATTGGGAGAAAAGAGCTCTTCCTATTGGGAGAAAAGAGCTCCTCCTATTGGGAGAAAATGGAGGTTCCCACCTATTGGGAGAAAATAGCTCCTCCTATTGGGAGAAAAGAGCTCCTCCTATTGGGAGAAAATGGAGGTTCCCACCTATTGGGAGAAAATAGCTCCTCCAATTGGGAGAAAAGGGCTCCTCCTATTGGGAGAAAATGGAGGTTCCCACCTATTGGGAGAAAATAGCTCCTCCTATTGGGAGAAAAGAGCTCCTCCTATTGGGAGAAAATGGAGGTTCCCACCTATTGGAAGAAACAAGCTCCTCCTATTGGGAGAAAAGGGCTCCTCCTATTGGGAGAAACAAGCTCCTCCTATTGGGAGAAAATAGCTCCTCCTATAGAGAGTAAAGAGAGGCTTCACACTGAATCACATCTCTACCTCATCGTTGGTATACGTTATCTGATGAACCCTCTAACCTCTAGCCCAGTGCCAAACTCCCAGATGTTTGCATGGCTTCCTAAAAGCAGCCCTGGCTCCAGGGGGACTGGAGAAATCTGAGCCCTGTTAGAAATCAATCAGAATAGCCCACAGGAAGAGAGGGCTAGGGGCTGCTAAGTGTGACAGGTGTCCTTTAGTGATTAACAGTTTCCATGTCAGGAGCTACATTTAGCTGAGACCTCACAGAATCCCTAACCAAGACACAGACATCCTGAGAGTGCATGCATGGCAACAGAACACCACTTTCCCCATGTACATATTGAAACCAACATCTTAGTAGGATGAAATGGTAGGATTTAAACAATGACATGTCTGTGATTGTCATGAGCTAAACTGAGTCGCTCTGGATAGAAATGTCTGCTAAATTACTAACATGAGTGTGTCACATGTCTTATGAGCAGGCTACTGGTAATGGGGATTCAATATGAGCCAACTGCTTTTACTGTAAAAGTAAACACCTATAATGCCTTTACAACACTTACAACACACAGCTGTGTCTGGCCAGAGTGTTATCTAGTAGCTGTTAGGAGAGTTAGCTAGGGATGCAACAATTGCTTTTGCAGTGCTGTTCCCTTGACACTGCAATGGAATGTCCAGACTGAATCAACTACTATCAAGATGAATCCTTCCAATAAACACTGAGCTTTACACCTGCTGCAGGCTTCAGAGTGAACAGATACAATGACAAAAGCATGAACTACAGTACATTGTATGACCAATATTGTATACAGTATCTCTTTGAGGATCGTTTCCTACAGCAGTCTGATTGATTGATTGATTGATTGATTGCTCACTAACCTGTTGATGTCGGCACTCCCAGAGGAAGCATAGAACAGGAAGAGAAGTACACCGATCCAGCTGAGGGGCTGCATGTCTCTGACTGGGTACAGCGCACCTTCTCTCTCTCTATCTCTCTCAATTCAAGTCAATTTCTCTCTCTCTCTCTCTCTCTCTCTCTCTCTCTCTCTCTCTCTCTCTCTGTCTCTCTCTCTCTCTCTCTCTCTCTCTCTCTCTCTCTCTCTCTCTCTCTCTCTCTCTCTCTCTCTCTCTCTCTCTCTCTCTCTCTCTCTCTCTCTCTCTCTCTCTCTCTCTGTGAAGCTCTCACTGACTGTGATTCTGTCTCCGTTGTGTTCTGCTCCTCCCAAGGACTTGCTCCTACTCCATGCACTCACACAGGGGTCACAGGAACCCGCCTCAATTGAGACCTCACCAAGCCTTTCTTAGTTCATGTGTTTCCCCACCATACACACTCCCCTCTAGTATGTATACTTCACTCTCTCTCTTTCTCTCTCACTCTTTTTCACTCTCCTGATAGCAGTCTCTGTGATCTGAGTCCCATATGTCGGAGGGGACGGGAGGGGGGTGGTGGCTGTACGTTCCGGGTGGGGGGGGGGGGGGGTGCTCCAGACATATCTACTGGGAAACCCAATCCAGGGCCATTTGATTGATGATCGTTTTCCTGCAATAGTTCACCAGCAGGGACAGATCTGCGATCACCATTGCAGCTATACTTAAAGCACATAGGGAACCAATGAAATGAGATGCATAGTGTCATGCTTATTTAACACCATATACAGGAGCTGTGTGAACTTGACCTACATTCTTGCCCCACCCTGGTTCTACAGACCGAGTGTTGATCTGCTTCTTCATGATGACATCACTCCTCTCTTACATGTTCCATCCATCTTGGCTCTTGATGCCATGCCTTGCTCTGACATTGTCCCGGTTGCTAATTAGCTGGATCGCCTGTGTTAATTGCGGGACCCAGACGTGCCCGAGCCTGTCATTAGGAGCAGCCCTTCCCTTTGATGTCCTGCTCATGACCAGCACCCACAAAGCCCTGCTCTCTTTCACAAATGCTTATACCAAGTTTAAGAAAAGCTCACGTCAAGCCCTAAAAGCCCTTAATGAGTTTGCAAACTTTCAAAGTGAACCCAGACATCTGGACTAGCTCTAGCTGTGCACAACAGACAATGGTGTTGTGGGAATGTTTGGTTGTCGGGTTTAGCTTTAAAGCCAGTGAACCACAGCCATGTGCTGTTACCTTTTCTTATTGGATGGCTATGTCCCAAAAGTTTACAATGACTTTCGCAAACATATTTTTGGGGTTTAGATGGAATATGTCTAAACTTGTCCATAAGTTGCCTCTGATATTTCTCGGTGCTCTTTCATCCATTAAAAAAGTTCCGGAGTATCACTATCCCATCTGCATCCCCCTCCTGTTCTTTCTCTCTCGACTAATGATTTATGGAGCACTGCCATTTTATGTTTGAAAGGTTTGTGCGGTATTGCCTAAAACCCGGAACCACACCTTCAAAAGAGTCAGTCTACCTCAAACAAGGAATTGGGAGGTACAAGGGAAATTGCTTTCACATGAGGAGAAGAAAGCTTTTTCACAGTCAGGTAGTGTAGTTCAGCTGTAAAATACGGCCCTGTGATTTCTCTGCCATGGCAGGATATATACAGTACTGTAGCTAACCACAACCAAAGCTGGGGGAGGGTGGAATTTGTGGGAAGCTCCCTTTAACTGTGGAAATCTGAGAAAGTGAATGCCGGAAAAGTGGTTAATGTTTCCCCATTATTTCAGAAGTCCAGTAGCCAAAGCGGTAACAACAATAACATTGTCTCAGATTATATGTGAAATTGACCTGATCATAGCTATTTGATTCACATGTTTGTAGAAAAGTTTAAGGAAAAACTCTATAGCCTCCAGTATCATAGGCCTCCAGTAACATGATTCAACATGACACAGTCCTAATGTAGCCCATAACCTTGACTCGAGCATAAATCTCAGTCTCTGAGTTCAAAGCAAATGAGTTTCAGAGATAATCTGTCAAAGCAATCCTGGGGCGGTCTACAGAGCTGACTGCTGAGAGGAGGGACATGGCATGGCAAGTCCGCGGAAGGAAAACGAGACGAGCCCAGATCTTGGCTAGGAATAATAATCGAATCAGACCTCTGAGATGTTCTGTATGACTACCTGCTGTCACGACTTCCTCCGAAGCTGCCTCCTCTCCTTGTTCGGGCAGGCTTCGGCGGTCGTAGTCACCGGCCTTCTAGCCACTGCCTCTCCTCATCTCATCATTCCATTGGTTTTGTCTTGTTTATTACACACACCTGGTTCATATCCCCTCATCAGTACCTGTATAAGTGTTCCCTCTGCCCCCTTGTCTTTGTGTGCAATTGTTTATTGTGGAGGACAGTGAAGCTCGGCGGAGCTCCGTGTATTTTGTATCGCCGGGATATTTCCCTGTGTGCCTTGTATTTTCCAGTGCGCCTGTTTTGCGCACTGGAGTGTTTTTGCCGCATTACTGCATAACTCTGTATTTGCGGAATAAAGCCTGTTATTACTTTTACAGTAAAAGCAGTTGGCTCATATTGAATCCCCATTACCAGTAGCCTGCTCATAAGACATGTGACACACTCATGTTAGTAATTTAGCAGACACTTCTATCCAGAGCGACTCAGTTTAGCTCATGACAATCACAGACATGTCATTGTTTAAATCCTACTATTACATCCTACTAAGATGTTGGTTTCAATATGTACATGGGAAAAGTGGTGTTCTGTTGCCATGCATGCACTCTCAGGATGTCTGTGTCTTGGTTAGGGATTCTGTGAGGTCTCAGCTAAATGTAGCTCCAGTGTAAGGCGCTGGTCGATTCAGGCGCAGCTGGGAATTTTATGGACAGGTCATTTGCACATAGTCTAGGGATTACATTGGTTCCCCTATCCATTCCACTGCCCATCAGAGCACTTGACAGTCGACCATTATGGTCCAGGTTCGTTAGGGAAGTTACAGCACCAGTCACTATGGTTACGCACTAGGCCCATAGAGAGCAAGTCACTTTATTTTATTTTATTGAGTCTCCTGATTTCCCTGTTGTGTTAGGTCTTCCTGGTTAGCACTACACAAACCCCACCTTTTCATGGCCGCAGAGGGTTCTCACGGGGTGGTCTCGCCAAGAGAGAATTTCAGCCAAGAGAGTGTCAGGATAGGTGTCTAGGTGTTTCCGTTGGTGCAACCACGGTGGAAAATCCAGACACTACCTCCACCGTGCGCATTCCCCCGAATACCTCGATTTGGCGCGTGCGTTTTCCAAATGACCACCTCATCGGTCAGGGGATTGTACAATAAACCTCAGAGTAGACGCTGTGCCTCCCAGGAGTCATGTGTATCCCCTGTCGCAGGCTGAAACGGAGGCGATGGAGACATACGTCTCCGAGTCCCTGCGACAGGGGTTCATACGTCCCTCCACTTCGCCAACCTCATCGAGTTTCTTTTTTGTGAAGAAGAAAGACGGAGGTCTGCGCCCGTGCATTGATTACTGAGCACTGAACAATGGGACAATACGTTATAGTTATCCTCTACCCCTCATTCCATCTGTAATCGAGTCAATGCATGGGGCGCGCTTCTTCACAAAATTAGATATTCGGAGTGGGTACAACCTGGTGCGTGTCCGAGAGGGAGGGATAGGCGCTGTCCTATCTCAACGCTCGGTCACGCCTCCCAAGCTCCGCCCCTGTGCCTTCTTCTCTAAGAAGCTCAGCCCGGCGGAGCAGAACTACGACGTTGGTGATCGGGAGCTGTTGGCTGTTGTCCGAGCCCTGACCGTGTGGAGGCACTTGCTCGAGTGGGCGAAACACCCTTTCCTCGTCTGGACGGACCACCGTAACCTGGAGTACATCCGGGCAGTGAGGAGGATGAACCCTCGCCAGGCCAGGTGGGCCCTATTCTTCACCTGGTTTGATTTTACACTGTCTTACATCCCGGGTATGAAGAACGTGAAGGCAGACGCACTGTCACGGCTGTATGACACAGAGGAGAGGCCAATAGACACCCCATACTCCCGAACTCCTGCATTGTGGCGCCGGTAGTATGGGCAATGGACGTGGACATAGAGCAGGCATTACGCACAGAGCCATCTCCACCTCAGTGTCCAGCTGGGCTGCAGTACGTGCCGTCTCTTGTCCGTGACCGTCTGATCTATTGGACACACACGTCCCCCTCCTCTGGTCACCCAGGTATTGGCCGTACAGTGCGCTGCCTGACCGGGAAGTACTGATGGCCTACCTTGGCTAAGGACGTGAGGGTGTATGTCTCCTCCTGCTCGGTGTGCGCCCAGAGCAAGGCACCTAGGCACCTCCCAGCGGGTAAGTTACAGCCCTTACCAGTTCCACAACGGCCATGGTCCCACCTGTGTATTGACTTTCTCACTGATCTTCCCCTCTCTCAGGGTAACACCACCATCCTGGTCGTTGTGGATCGCTTTTCTAAAGCCTGCGATGGATGACTGGTTTCGGCGTGCGGCAGAGATGTGGAACGCTGCTCACGTCCACCTCCAGCGCGCCGTGCGTCGCCAGAAGGCCAATGCTGACCGCCACCGCAGTGAGGCCCCGGTCTTTGTACCGGGTGATCGGGTCTGGCTCTCGACCCAGAATCTGCTCCTCCGCCTGCCCTGCCAGAAGCTGAGCCTGCAGTTTGTGGGGCCGTTCAATGTCCTGAGGAGAATAAACAAGGTTACCTATAGGTTACTACTCCCTCCAGATTACTGTATTAACCTCTCGTTTCATGTGTCTCTCCTCAGGCCGGTGGTGGCTGGTCCGATCCAGGAGTCTGAGTTGCGGGAGGTCGCTCCGCCCCCTCTGGACATCGAGGGGGCCCCGGCGTACTCCGTCCATTCCATCCTGGATTCGAGGCGTCGGGTGGGGGGCCTTCAGTACCTCATGGATTGGGAGTGGTACAGTCCGGAGGAGCGGTGCTGGGTGCCGGTGAGAGATATCCTCGATTCCTCCCTGTTGCGGGATTTCCACCGTCGCCATCCGGCTCGCCCTGCTCTGTGCCCTCCTGGCCGTTCCAGAGGCCGGTGTCAGCGCACTGCTGGAGCTGCACGTCAACAGGGGGGTACTGTTACGACTTCCTCCGAAGCTGCCTCCTCTCCTTGTTCGGGCAGGCTTCGGCGGTCGTTGTCACCAGCCTTCTAGCCACTGCCGAATCCATATCTCATCATTCCATTGGTTTTGTCTTGTTTATTACACACACCTGGTTCATATCCCCTCATCAGTACCCGTATAAGTGTTCCCTCTGGCCCCTTGTCTTTGTGTGTGATTGTTTATTGTGGAGGATAGTGAAGCTCGGTGAAGCTCTGTGTATTTATTATCGCAGGGATATTTCCTTGTGTGTCTTGTATTTTCCAGTGCGCCTGTTTTGCGCACTGGAATGTTTTTGATGCAGTCATGCGTAACTCTGTATTTGCGGAATACAGCCAGT